CCCAGAAATGCTATCTTTCAGTTGGCAGGGTAGGTGTAGGCTAAGAGATCCTGGCGCCAGGTCATCGTGCCCATCCGGGATGGTGTGTCCATGATTCGCCTCAAGTGATTGCCCATGCTGCTTTAGGTTTTGGGTAGTGGGAGCCGCAGGCCTTGAAAAAAAAACATGACAATCCTTGGGTCATGTCATACAACTACAGCAGACTGACGCCCGTCTTCATGATTGTTGGTGCTACTGCCACTCCCAGTACAGCTGGTACAGGAGTTGCGGTACATATTCTAGCTACTTAAGGGAGACAAGGTACCAACAGCCTTTATTCTGCAAGAAGGGAGTCTATCTAGCACAAGCTGTTTGCCCTCAGCCGGCCCCCAACCTGACAATCCGTAACACAATAGCTTTCACTTAAAGGGGTAAGGGAGGTCCAGGAGAAAAGGGCTTCAAAACACTTGAAGCCCGAAGCCCACAACACAAGCCCACTCTCTGGACTTCCCCACCCCGGTAACCAAGCCACTTTTTGTTTCATTCATTCGTGCGCTCTTGGCAGTCCATGCCATTTTCAACAGCGCAGATTCGGTGACCTGATGCAAAGAATCAGGGTCCCCACAGCCGTGCCGGAAGGGTGCACATGTAAGGGGAGGGCTGCATGGAATCTTACTAAGGCTTACTGGGATTGATGTAGTGATCCCGCGGGTCCTGTATCGGTTTCTAGCAGTCGGGGGGCCCACATGGTAGTTTATATACTTCAGGAAAGCCCCGAACGTAGACCTGCAAGTGCTTGGGGCCAGGTGTTGCCACATCCCAGCTGCGGCATTTGAATCAAATGGAAAAATAGAACGTAAGCTGGCAACTGGGGCTGTATGGTTGTAGTAAAGGGTACCTCAAATAAAACTCGAAGCGATCGGGGCCCCTTCAGTACATCAATGGTTCATAGTTTACGGCTACCCCCCAAAATGCGCCAAACAGAGGGACCTGGGCAATATTCGTATACCCTTCATGAGAAACACGATGTTTGCACGAGGTTTTGGATATCCATGCTGCTTCGCCCTCTGCGAAACAGTGACTTTTTGTAGCGCAGTCCGACTCGGAGCACCACCTCGGCACGTGACAAGTTCCTTCCAAGTTTTCTGGCTTCACAGTTGTGAACCAAATCTGTTCTTGCAGACATGAGGCAAGCACGCGAGCAACAAAAAAAACTGACGAGTAATGACTCCTGTTGCTTGATGGGCTGAGCGCTTCCCAGGCAGGTTTACAAAAAAGGGCACCTTTCTGGGTAGAATTTGGAGTCAGTGGGTTCTTATTGAAGGGATCTACCAAAAGACCGTCTTCAGCTCATCATGGTCTTAGGCGTTTGTGAATTTCGTCCGGGGGTTTCTCAAGGATGTGACTGTAAACCCTAAACCCCCAATAGTAGCTTCCATTTTATATTCCGTTATCCCAATAGAACCCCAGTGTACTAGACCCTAAAAGCTAAAATCGCAAATTACCCCAAATAGTAGTTTCCGTTTTACTTTCCATGATCCCAATACAAACTTAAAACCCTTGAGTGCAAGCAATAGGTCTGAGCACCAGCCGGCCGCCGCTTGTCAAAGCTGCTGTTGCGTGGAAATCTCCACATGGCCGCTAATTACTTTGCTTTTTATATATGAAGATGCTGTTAATCACATAGGCTGCAGTACCATAACTATCATCCGGCTAGACTTGTTCAGAAGGTTCCGGGCAGCATCTCTCCGCTTGGGCCGTTTAGGGGCTCAAGTCCCCTCCCTCCAACCAGTAAAGCCTAATGACGAGCCTAACATCATTTGACAGGGTATGGAGGGCAGAAAGGTTTCAAGTTAATCCATTTCCTCCCTGTTGATAAGCTCCTACAGGGCCCGACGTCTTCCTTTGTGGCACTACAATAACTGCTTACATCGGTCCTAAGATTCTGCTTTAGATATCCTTAGGTAAGGTGCCATTTTTGTACCTCCACTACAGTCTCTTTGCCATGGCGAACCAATCTTCTGGCAGCAAGGGTTACGTGGGCCGTTTCGATGGAACCCAGGCTGGCGTTTTGTTTCAGAAGATCCTGCAGATTCGGCGATTGTTGCTACTATTGTTGTTAGTAGTATGTTGGTTTTGTTGTGTTGTTATTATTATCGTGTTTGTGCTGTTCCCAAGAGCCTGCAGATGAGTTAGGTTGAATTATCTCGCTTGGCAGGTCAAGCTTCGCACATGACGTTACATTATGCCATTGATCACAGCTTTTGTACGCGGGTGTGTGTTCTCAGGACTCTGCATCCTGAACCAAACCATGAGTCCACTTTGATAGTTACAATTTAGGTGGACCCTCACCCAGTAATAGTGGCTATAAGGGATAATAGGAAGTATATGAAGGTCCTCTTATATTCCTCTTATACCACTATTGCAGGGTGGGGGCGGGTCCTCCTAAGTTACAATTCTGTGCTGGTTGTTGCTAATTACCAGAAGTCCTCTTCAGAGGCCGAGCAGGTAACGATGACGACGCACGACAAGGAGGAGTCCATGGCTGCGAGGGGCACCAGGCTTCGCAGGGCTTGTCTACAGTGGGTGGAGGAAAATTTGCACCACTCTATGTAATCCCCTCCCCCCTGATATTAAACCCCCCCGCCCCCTGATATTAAATACTCCCATATTGAGAGTATTTAATATCATAGGGGGGTTGGAGGGTTTGATGTTAGTGGGAGGGGATTACTCTATACCCCAAGACTTATACAAGCTAGGGAGGCAGAAGCAATGCAAATAGCGTGAGGGGTTTTAAATTGATTGGACTTCTGGCTGCTTTCCTTTCAATACGAAAGAGCCAGTTGTCATAGGAGATCGTGTCATGAGGTGCCATGACATTGAGGAGCAAAACGGGCACTTTCCTGGATGAGGGTTCGCTTATGAAACAAAGTCTGGCAGCTCGGGGTGTGCACAGTTGTCATGAAGTAGGTTGCGTTTGTCCTATGGCTTCGTGCACAGTACTCTCGTGATAGACTGAGGCCTTCATGGAATATTTCTGGAGCCTCTCCACCTGTAACTTCACCTGTCATCCTCGCGGTCTCTAGTTCCAAGCTTTGTGTTTCAGATCTCCATACGGAATGGTCCTGCCAGACAGTCGAAAGAGTTTTATTCGATTAGCGTCTTGCCTCAGCCATTATGTCGTCCCACGGCTCCTTGCAGAAGAAACTAAGCCATCTCATCTAATTACTGCCTGAGGCAGTCGGACTGCGAAAGTTTCATTCCAACACCCTGTAATCGCATGCCCCAGGAATTGCTGATTGGCGCACCCCGCTGCGTAATAGAATTATGATGGGGATTCCAACGTCCGATTCGTTACACATATGTAACAGGGACAGACATAAAACCTCAATCTCTACCCTGAAGTGTTTGGAGGGGATCCTTGTTCAGGGGGCGCAGCGCTGCCAAGTGGTCAATCTTCTCCGAGCGCATTGAGGGTCTGGCGAAGGCCCCCAGCGGATTCCGATGACTTGTCAGGGAATGCATAGACTGCCTCCAAATCTGCTTTTTTACAGGGCAGGTCCGTAGTCCATGGCTGAAAAGGGTCATCAGCAGCGAGCCCCCATTCCCAAGGAGATGTACATGCTGGTTGGCTCGCTGGACCCATATGCTGCTCGAAGAAAATGTGTGGGTTGAGAGCTGTGGATAAAGGTCTATCATGGTTTAGGTTGCTTCGCTCTGTCTTTACATCTTTGCTGGCGGTGGCATTGCTGGTTCGTGTAGGCAGTTTCTTTTGAGCTTTCCTTTCTTGTTCCTGCGCTTTGCAGCTTAAACATGGACCACAGATTTTGAGAAATTCCTGCATCAGCTCCATACAATGACCCTTTTGCCCAGAAGGCTTTCCTCATCCAAAGTCCACACGTACCCTATACCATAACAACACAAGGAATCTAGGAACAAAATACTTTAATTTTCACGGTGGGATAGATTTCATCTGGGCCTGCCCAAACCCTACGGTAAGCCCTAAAACCCCGAACCTTTACCCTTAAACCCTTAAAGCCTACAACGTTTGGACTCTAAACCCCATAACACCCTAACCCCTTAAACACTACAACTTTTGAAGCCCAAGCCCCATAAAGCCCTACACCCTTAAACCCTACAACTGTTAAACCGTAGACCCCATAAAGCCCTAAACACATACCCTGAAACTCTAAACCCCACAAAGCCCTAAACCCTCAAACCCTACAACTTTTAAACCTGTAAACCCTACAACTGTTGAACACTATAGACAACCCCTAAAACCCTAAACTCCAGGTTCGGGATCACTCCACTGCTGAAGGCCCTGCCATGGCAGCGATCCACAAGAAGATGGACGAAACCGAGCCCTGGCGCGGTGTCCGGGGAGGTTTAGGGTGTTATGGTTTTAGGGTTATGGTTCAGTGTGTGGGTTGGGTACTGCCCCTACTCTGTAGGAGTAGGACATTACTTGTAAGATTGATCTAAAGCCTTAACGTAACCCCTACTACAGACTGTTACACAGTTGGGGAGTAATCAATACCCCTTACCCAGACAGCTTCTTGTGAGGCTGACCCCAATGATCAGGCTTGGCGAGGTTTGTGTTTCAGACTGATCACCCCCGAACTCCAAATTCTTCCCTTCCGATATTCTATTCTGGCATTCTGATGTAGATGATGTGAGGGTTAATTACTTGGCAGGGTGGTATGGCATGGTATGGCCAGGGCAACGGGTCAGAAGGTGCGTTATTAACTCGGGTTGGACAGAATCTTTGTGTTATGTTTTCTATGAAGTCTTGAGACCTCGCAGCAAGACAATGATATTCTAAAATGAGATACTGAATGCGCTTCTCGTGGACTTTAAGATGGAGCATGTTGTTGTAAGTTGTGTACATAAAAACTTTTGTACAAGCAAAGACCTTACCACTGGCTATTGTAGTGCTCTGGATCCTAGAACAACCGCAAGATAGAACAGACCCTTATTGGTTCCAAGTTTGCAGATCCCCTGGCTGTCTTGTAACTTACTGAGTTAGCTTCTTTGCCAGCATTTGCAGATTCCTTGTTGAGCATGACAGTCACGGGAAACTGTCATTCAGGACTGGAAGTCTCTGGCTGAGTCCAAAACCACGATGTTTTCCTATGGAGCTCCTGCTGCACTGCGGACATGCTTCAAAGTTGTGAGCCGCTTCTTTGGGGCCCCTTCCATTAAGGACCGCATTCTTGCACGTATGTAAGCGGTCATTTTCGGCCTTGCAGCAGCGGGATTTTTGGATTGGAGCATTGAAAGTTTAGCGCTTGTCATGGGAAGGGCTTGTGAATCCTCCATCAAATGTGGCATTTCGTTTTCAAGCCTGGCGAGCGGATAAAGGTTCAAGTTGCCAAATAAGGGCCAGAAGCGCACCCCCTGCATACACATCTATTGTGCCCACAAAACTCACAGAAAGGATTGGCAACCTTAAGATATCAATGCTAGTGCAAACCAGCATGCCCAAACAACAGGCACAAGTTTGAGACTTCTTCTGCGCGGGACCTGCCTAGAAGTCATTTTGGAATAATTGCCTGCGACTGAAGTGTTGTACCCAAGGCTTGGGGACCAGATTACATGAGGGCGCCCTCTCGCAGAGTACCGCTGAATTGCTTTACCTTGGAATCCTTCATTACTAGAACTTACATGATTGCAACTGGGACTCAAGAGCGTCTGTGATCTTTTAGGACGTGGAAGCATTAAATCGTTACTGTGGTCGGCCTCACCCAAACCGTCAACGGTGATGCGAAGCCCTGCAGCTCAAATCCGAGGAGAGGAGATGTCCACAGATCCCATAGAGGCGCAGTTCTTGAAGATGCTGACCTTCATGAAGCAGCCAAAGCAGGCGTTTGCCAGTACTGCCAGTAGGTTGCATCGATTTTTGGGGCTTCTGAATATTTCAGTCTTGCGGATGGATGAGCGGCTGTGAAGCCCGCTGCTAGAGATTACGGTTGGTTGCGCGGCAAGCAAACTAAGACATGCCTGCATCAGAGTTTTAAGATGAGTGCGGGTGAAGTGTGAAGAAATCCGAAGTATGTTTCCCATTGTTACCTGCGCGAGCCCCAGGTTCTGGTCCAAGTCCTTTTATCCTTCTGCTCGTTTCGGCTTTGTTAAGCTGAAGTGGTACCTCAGACCAGGCCTCGATTTGTTTTAATTCTTGACGTCTTGTTCAAGGTTTTTCAGAAAGGCTGGAGAGAAGGACCAACGAGGAAAGACAAATACTTGGCCTACACTAGCAAGTTAAACTGCAAGATAAACTGAGCGAACTTACGATGAGCCCTGAATCTGCATGTGTCACTCACAAGGGCAGGGATCGAGCATCTCCGGTACAATCCTGGACTGCCCTCAGCCTGACACTCCCCAGCCCGAAATGAGGCCCAAACAATTAAGATCCAGCTAAGGGCTATTTAGGGCGCCTGCAGCCAGCATGCTGGAGTCAGAACAGAAATCAATCCTCACGGAGACTTTCAAGGCTTCCCAAGTAGCTTGGACCTCCAAGCCCTCCACCCCAAAATGTCGCAACGATCCTTAGAGTCGTCAGTCCCGAGCCCTGCCCCTATATACTATAGTCGCTTCCAGTTTCCATTATCCCCTATATATCCGCTATATACTATAGTAGCTTCCATTTTCCATTATCCCCTATGTATCCCCTATATACTATCGTAGCTTCCATTTTGTTTTCCATCATCCCCTATATATCCCCTACATACTAGAGTAGCTTCCAATTATCCCCTATATATCCCCTATACCAAGCAGGTGCTTGAAATCGGGATGTTCGCCGGCTGCCAGTTCTCATATGCTAGACCCGGACTGGGAGCGCCAAAATCAGTGCTTCATCTTTTGTTCCCCCTGTTTACTATTTGTCTTTACATTTTCTCTGCATCATCATAGAAAGGCTAAAGCATCATCCTCTGCTCTTCTGGAAATCCGGACCCTAGGGCTCCTCCAAATGCAAGAAACATTTCGGAGGTTAGGAGGGGAAGAACATGGAGTTGACTGTTAGCACGGCTAGGCACGAGAACTTTTTCCAGCTGAAGTTTTTCTTGTTGGGAGTTCTTCATGGAAAATCTGGGATCGACAACTTACTCATTTGTGGTGTTGTTTGCTCAGGCATTCGCACAGCTGCTTTGTGCTGTAGCCGTGTAAGCCAGGCGGGCATATGGCAGGCTGGGCCCGTTTGGGGGTTCCCGATTTTTTGAATTGCTGAGCTGTTTGTGCATTTGCGTGACATCTGGAGTCATTCGTCAGATTGAGTTCGAATCTAGTTGGAAGCCGAGATTAGCAGAGACTGCCTACATACGCTCCGCAAAGTACGTACCGCAGGATGGGATCTGCCAAAGGCCCACTTGTCCCTCTACAAACAAAGTGCTCGTATCCTCAAGACATCCGCAGTTCTCCCACCTGTGTCGTCCCAGGCTACGGCGCCATGGCTATCGCGGAAGCCTTACCTGCAGATGGCACCTTGGGCCATTTAGAGGTCCCTTTTGGGTCTCATAACCAGGCCAGCGAGCAGGTTGAAGGGAAAACCTACAACCCTGGGGGAGGTGAAGTTCTTTGTGTGGTTTCCAGGGGATATGATAACGGTTTTGAAGCCAAGCAGTTGATTCATATGGAGAATGGATGAGTCTTGCTGTGCAGAGCCCCTACACTGTTTGCTGAGCTAAGTGATGAGGAGGCTGTGTTGGTCCTCTGCTCATGTAAGGCAAAACTGGTAGAGCTCCAATTCCCACAACTTAGGTAAGATAACGTCTCTGGACATCGACCCTTTCCTGAAGACCTGGGTCGAAGACGTCGCCAAGAACTAGCCGGAGGGTGCCCCTGCAGAGAATCTTTCAGGGGCGTAGTAGAAATGCATGCTGCTTGACATGGAGTTCTGTGAAGTTTCTGCTTAAGCTGTAGCTAACCGGGCGTGCGCCGACATCATGAGTATCACATGACGAGGAGACCGCTGCACCGCAGAATGCTCAAGGCGCTGCTACTCCCCGAGATCCCAATATTAGAATAGTATGATTTGTGCCCCTCTTGACTTGGTCAGCTTCTTTCGTGCTCCAAGTTGAATGTTCTGTGAGGTGCAGAGATGTCCGTGCCTGAAGTGCGAAAGCCTCTTAACAAGAAGAGTGGGTATCCCATACTAGAACAGCAACGGCTGGCAACACCATTCACCTCTCCACGACTGTCAATTTTCTCAAGGCATACATGTCTAGGAATGGCCCCCATCCACACAGCATTCAGCTTTAGGGATTCATGAAGCAGGCTTCAATGAAGTACTTGCCTATTCGAGCCATAATCTAAACTCCTCAAAGGGTGTTATATAGGGGACATTAGGTCTTTAGACTATAGCCCGTTTGAGGGATGCCACGAGGTGCCAAGCTGCAGATTGTGGTTGGCCCTGCTTTGGAAACTTTGCAGACCATCGAGGGCAAGTATGACATGGCTTCTGGGCAATCTTTCATATGGGTGGTTGTCAAAATTATGGTCCCTTTTCGGGTACCCTAAATATTAGGTGCCATATTATAATAGGGATCCGAAAAGGGACCATAATTTTGACAACCACCCATATACGATTTGAGTCCTTCAAGAATACCAACTACTAGATGGTATCACACTGGCATTGAGAGGAATGAGAAGACTCTGAGGTATGTTGCCAAGAAGCTCACTACCATCATGTGGGCCTGCGCTATACTGCTCTACCCAATGGTAATCTCCTCCACTTGCGGGCGCCTTCCTTGTTGCAGTCCGGGTTTTGTAGAGGTTGATCAGGACTAGTCGGAGCAAGGCAGTCTCACTAAATTGAGAGTACATAGTGTAACAGAATCTTAGGATGTTACCAAACGAGCCGAAGACAAAGGTTGACACCCTTGCAACACCAGGTTTTCATCGATGCAAACAAGTCTGAGCACCTGGGCTGTTTGGAAGGGCTACCAAAGCATCTCAAAGTTGTTTGGGTTTAGCCTTTATACCTCCAAGCTTCCTGGAAGGAAGAGTTAATGAGGGACTTCCCACTCCAGCTTGAGACACTGCCATATGGGAACCTGCGTGAACTTTTCAGAAGCAAGATCCGCTTAGGTTTCTCATGCGCCATCACAACTGCGAGGGGAACTCAGATCGGACGTAGTTCAGGTCCTCCAGCATGAAGTCAAATATGAGTAGTTGTTGATGCAAGTGTTTGGGACCTTTTGGGTGTTAGAGCCCCGAGGTGGGGAAAGTTTATCGTAGCCTCAACTTTTTTGGGCGTGAAGCCTGCGTCCGCAGGGCTTTTGCCTTAAGAAAGCTTCAACGCAAACTTCTGGGAAGCCGCTTCCCGAGCACAACCTCAGATGCGGATGCAAGCTTAGAAAAGTTCATTAAGTACGGCAGCAGCCCCGAAATTTAGTGTCGTGCACAATGCCGTTAAACATGCCATAGTATGGTAGTTTCCATTTTCTTTTCCATTATCCCTATAAAATCCCAATATATTATAGTAGTTTCCATTTTCTTTTCCATTATCCCTATATAATCCCAATATATTATAGTAGTTTCCATTTTCTTTTCCATTATCCCAATATAATCCCAATATATTATAGTAGTTTCCATTTTCTTTTCCATTATCCCAATATAACCCCAATCCAACCACCATGCCTCGCATCCTTGCACTGGAGGTACAAGGCTTATGTGGAGACCTTGCTCCGGAGGGACCTCCTTTCTAAGGATGCGATGATCATTGCCGATGCCAGTCTGAATTGCAAATCCCACTGAGCGTAGGAAGTCTAGAATCCTGTGGGATTTGGGTGTAGAAGTTAGATAGGGGGTTTGGTGTTTAGGCAGTCTAGAAAGGCAACAGGTAGACCTGAATCGGGGGAAATGCCTTTGATGAGAGCCTGCAGGAAGGGGAGCGCCGGCTTTTTTTTAAATCAACTGGGCGAGTACCGTCGCCCATTCCTACAGCATGCAAGGACAACACCTTGTATGTGGGCTACCCTATGCTGTTCCTCGGCAAGACTTTGGAGCACAATTTCCATGAGCAATGTATGAACCTGAATTTAGAATAGAAATGGACGTGTCGTGCCTTCCTAGCCTTGAGTTTTTTGGAGTTGCTTGCTAAGCGGTGCACCACTGACATTTGCCTAGGACCTAGCTTAGAACTGTCGCAGCAGCTACGGAGGACAGCTTGGCGGAATCTGAAGGCTATCTTGACATTGATGATGAAAGGACCTTCAAATCCCTGAGCTCAATGTTTCGAAGCGTGCCTGCAAGGGGACCTGCTTCGAGACAGCCCCATACTGTAAGGGGCTCACATTTGCGTTTGGTCCGCAAATCCTGTACTTGAGTAGTTTTGTTCGCACACCCTCTAGCGGAGAACTTAGCTACAGCGTTCTGCGAGGTCTGAGACCTACGACACTCAGCCAGCCCGCCGAGGCAGCCGCATTAGAAGCACAGCTCTGCACCAAGTCCTGAACAAGATTAAGAACTTGAATAGTTCAGATCCCCGATACGTCCCGCTGTCCGTCTCTGACGGTTGATGCGGGATCTCTGGACAGTTCATTTGTTGTTTGGGCGGTCTGGTCTTGATGCAGAGGACTTACCTTTCGGTTTGAAAGGGGAAAGCTTTACCCTGATCGGACAAAGCGTGCCTTATGGGGTTGGTTAGCATCATTACCCTGATGACCTGATGATCTGCTTCCAGGCTTCGGAGATGCGATTCGCGAGTTCAACGAATGGGTTCGGGACCACCCAAAGCTGGAGCAGGCTTTGGGTTGGGGCTGCATCATGCTCATACCGTATTCAAGCTGTCTCAATACATCTATACTCCCTTGACAACACCCTTCACCAAAGGAATAACGGTAATAATGGGTAATGATGGAGTAATAAGAATAATGACAATAATCTGAGGAACCTTTTGGGCTTATTGTCAGTGTATCTTGATTTTGCGGGTTCCCCCCTAGCTGTTTCAAAGCGTGGATCCTTCTAATGGGACACTGGATAGTTAGGTTCGGGGCTTGAAGGGATCTAGAGACCCGGAACCATTTTTGAATCCTTTGGGAGGTGCCCCTTGACATTTGACCATGTTTGAGCGCTTAGCGCAGGCCTAAGATCCAAAACTATCTGCTGGAACCCCAGCATTTTGGGGCTGCTGAGGAGTGTGGCCTCCAAAAAGAACGGTTTGGGGGGGGGGGAATTTTCTATCGCATACTACAAGGGTAGCGTTCCGGCTGGCTATGTTGCGGAAAGGCGTTTCCCGCTGACACCCGGATACTAGGACCACCTTAGGGACATCTTCGAACAGTCCCCTGATGAGAAGACAGCCCCAAGCAGATCCCAGAAGCTTCAAACTTGTACAAAGATGAATGCCCCATGCTTCCTCCCACCGCAATCTCTATGCGATATAGCCTCAAATCCCCTATAGGTAAGATCTAGGCATGTACTTGCCAGTCGGCCGTACGCAGTCTCGGGGTCACCATTTGGATTGTTGCAGGAGATTTCATTCCTTCTTGCCCTTGTGAGGTCATCCTTCCTATTCGTGACGGTGTATCCATGATCCGCCTCAAGTGATTGCGTTACTGGCTGTTTCTTGCAGCTCTGCCGATTTGGCAGAAAGATGCCTCGTGCCGTTCCATTGATTTGCGCTGTGTTGGCAGTTCTTGCCATGTTTCTCTGCATGGATACGGATGTCAGCAATCAGGATTCTCACACGGACGCTTGTGCCTGAAGGGTGCAGATCTTAAGGTGTCATTTCCCCGAGTTTCTTATAGCATGTTATATGGGCATGGCTTGGAATGGAAGATGGTGGCCTCGTATTTGCAGGTCAAGGTATCCGTCTTACACACGGTGGGTTGCGCCCAAGGCATGAGAGAATTTCCAAGTTTTCTTGGGACACACTTGTGACCCAACATTTGTCGCAGATGCCGAGCACGCGGGCGAACAAAAGACAAGAGGGATGCCTAGGAGGGTTGAGCTTTTGCATGGTCCGGCTGTCATCCTGTTTTTTGTGATCTTGAGACAGCATCCTGTATAGCACGTTAAGGGATGGAAAGCCTTCCCTTCACAGCTTACAGACCGTATGATGACACCAAAGGTGACTACACGTTTTGCGGGTGCAAGAGGAGGTTGATTCACATCCTGAGCATCTCAGGATGGAAGGAGCTCTTCAACTCCTACTTTGACAGCATCCGTGCTGCCTGTCGAAATCTCGTGGCTTTGAGGATGCACGGAGAGTAGCAGGGAGCTAAACCAGAGCCCTATATAGGGCATGAAGACTTCCCATATATGATGCTGACATGCAGTTTCTCAAAATATGGGCACGTTTCCCAGGTATTTTTTGGCTTTCAGTGGGCGACACGAATTTGAGAACAACAGAGTTTTTCATGCGCTTCCAACTTGGAGATTCGTGGCCTCGTTCCATTGAGAGAGAGCTATTCTTTGCACAGGGTGCCCAGGGCGGAGAAGATGGGATCCGCAACATTGATTGCTAGAGAATCCACATGATATCTGTTTTTGCGCAAATTCAGCTGCACAGGCACTCCGACAACAAGATCTTCTTACATCGCCCCATCATTAAGACCCAAACTGGCCCATGAATTCAAACAGCTCTCCGCTTTCTGACCCCCTGGCCACGGGCGAATACTTTAGGGTATGTATTAGGTGTACAAAGGAATGTGGGGCTTTTTTTGCCCAACCGCATAGTAGGCCGTATGGGAAGGCAGTAAACACCCCATTTATAGGGGGATTACATAGTGAGCGTTTGTTCATGCATTCCTTGATTCCCTGCTAGGCAGCAGGTAGTAGCACAGGTAATAGTAATAGTATGGGCCCGTAGTTCCAACCTGGGATGGTTTTTTGGAAGTGATCCACTGTTTCTCGGAGCCAGTTTCTATAGCTCTGAAGAACTTTTGATATAATTTCTCTATCTTCTTTGTGTTTCTAGTGCGGTATGCCCCAGAACCCTGTTGGAATTGAATGGGCTCCTGCGGCTCGCGATCTCCAAATCACAGTCAGCAGATAAAGTGAACACTGGGTCAGAATGCTCAGAAGTAGCGGAGGCAAGCAGATCAAAAGGCTAACTGTTTATATGCAACAACGAAACACTTATCGGCATTTGTGGAATTATCATCTTCTTCCATTCCCTAGGTATAGGGAGCCCAGCTTGAGGGCAAGTGATTCCAGGCCTTTTACAAGAAACCTCCATCAAGGAGCTTTCAGCTTTCCAAGGATTCACGGACTTCAGGCCAAAAAGGCGGAGACACCTTAGAAGGAGTTTAAAACGCAATGCGCTCTGAGCCTGCCGATGGCGTGCAACAACAGATCCAGCCTCAGCCAAACCTCTGCCAGGCGGAGGCCAGGTTAAGGAGTAGTCCCCCTCCCCCTAATGTTAACCCCCACCCCGCCTCCTAATACTAAATACTCCCAATATGTATATATATAATATAATATACTGCCATGGAGAGTATCTAATATTCGGGGGGAGGGGGGGGGGTTGATATGAGCGCGCGGGGATTACTGGTGGTTAGGAGGGAGAAAGGGAATATATCCTCCACATACCCTACATGAAATAGTCCCTTATTCCCTGCCAACCACCAGTAAGTAAGGTAGATGAATCATACAGGGTCCGGGTTCAGGTTTGAAGCAGCCATGGTATCGAAGTAGGTTTTGGGGGGGTATGGCCGTGCTTCGTCACCCTTCACCTTTGGAAGCCACCATTTAACCCCAAATGACTCCGGGAATCGATTGTTTGGCTTCAGCAATCTTGGGAATCAGGAGGGGCGATTAGGTTGCCGGCCAAGCCCAACATGCCTGAATTCATGACATGAAAATATCCTGGGATACGAAGGATTTGGAGCTAAACTTCAACCCAAGCCCCACGTCGTACAATCACCCCCCCGCCCTTCAACCCTGAACCTCAACCACAAAATCATATAAACAGCTATAGACCCTGAAGCCAGTAGTCCCCCATTCGAGGCGGGCGGTCCGGCTAAGAGGTTGCGACCTCCTGAAGAGCGGGGGGAGGCTGCTCTGATCAGGCAAATGTGGTACTTTCTGAAACTAGTTGGGCAGGGCTTTAATTGTTTAGGGTTTAGGGTTCGGAGAGGGTTGAAAAGGGTTCAGGGTCTAGGGAGCGCATTATATGGAGGGTTTGAAGGTCCCCATGAAACAATAACGGCCACATCGTATACCCTGGTCTCATGCTAGTTTTTTTTTCTTCTGGTTTGGCGAGCCCAAACCCTGAACCCGAGGCACTTTAATAAGCCTCCCTGCCAGGCATGTGAACGTTCAAGGCATCGATGGCACCACATTTCAACTCATGATGGACGATGCCATGAAATTTTGGGAAGTGCTGCAGAAAATCGAAGCTGAAGTTGGACGGAAAGTAGGTGGGCGTCAAAATCACGGTCTCTGTTGCCAAGATACCCTTCTTGTAACCTGCAGGTACGATGCTGGTGCTGATGTCGGGCGGTCGTGTACTTGATATGGCTGAGTCCTCGCCAGTGTTGCCAGAGGTGAGGGTGACTACCTGTTAGGGTTTAGGGTTTAGAGATGTCACCCCAATAATGGTGAACCACATGCAAAATCGCATGGAAAACTAAAAAGAAATCCGTTTGGTCCATATCATCACATTTATTCTGCTCTAGACCTTAGACCGGAAACCCTGAGGTGAGCGGTGACGAGATCACCTTTCTTGTGCAGCCAGTGGGTGCGGGGCACGCATGTGTAAGTTTGCTACGTGCACTGGAGGGTCGTAATGTGCTGGCCACTGATTTGCAAGCCCTGAATACCATTCATTCCTTGACTGTAGAAGCAGACCTGCGCCTTGATGCGACTACTATTTTGCCACGCGGTCTGCAGACTTTATCGCTTGGAGATGAGTGTTCAAAGCAGAGGTTGCAAGGGCTTCTGTTGCCAAGCTGCTTGCAGTCACTGACATTTGGCCAGGATTTCAACCAAAGCTTAGAAGGCATTGAGCTACCAAGCAACCTACAGGTGTTGACTTTTGGCACGTGCTTCAACCAGAGCCTACGAGGATACAAGCTGCCAGGCAGCCTGCAGAAATTGGAATTCGGTCTGCATTTCAACCAGAACTTGGAGGGTGTTACGCTGCCAGGTAGCCTGGAGGTCTTGAAATTTGGCGCCAGGTTTCTGGGTTGATGCTCAGGAGCTAAGTTTAAGTTATACATAGTAATTAGTAGGGGTTCCGCAAGATAGTAATTAGCTGAAATTAAGTTCCTTAACAGCAACCCAGGTTTAATCAGTCGTTGGAAAACGTCTCCTTGCCAAGTGGCTTGAAGATGCTGGAGTTCCTGCGCCACTATTAGGGTTTAGGGGTTTAGGGTTTAGGGTATGTTGAGTTGTTGTTTCCATTGTCAGGGCATCTGTTCTTCTCCACACAAAAATGTTCCTTGGATCCTGAGCCCCCAATTTCGATCCAGGTTGCCATGCGATTTCAACCAGAGCCTGGCCAAGACGAAGCTGCCAGACAGCCTTCAACAGCTGGTGCTCGGCCTGTGGTTCAGGCAGAGCATGGAGGGAGTCTCGGCAGTTGATCTTGCACGAGTTTTTGCATGTCTGCGTATACGTTCGCCCCGTACACAAAAGGCTTATAGATGAGCATCTACACCTTAACAATACCACAGGAGTGGTGCTGCCAAACAGTCTACAGACTTTGGTGTTTGGCAACGCTCGCTTCAAGAAGGACCTGGAAGGTGTCACACTGCCCAGCAGCCTTCAAGCTTTGACCTTTGGCACAGGCTCCAAGGAAGGGAAGAAGTTATAACACGATCCCTGACTGGGTTTTTGAACTGCGGAAGCTGCTTTGTAGTTACATAATTAAGTTACGTAATCCAGACCTGTCATTAATCAACGCCCTCCTTCTAAGGGCCTTAATATTAGGATCTCTATGATAATCCCTATGAAGGGGAGGGGGTTTATGAATCACGGGTCTACACTCCAGTTTAGTGCTCGGCCTCGTGAAGGCTTGACGGAATCCCTGGATGGCGTCTCCTGGCCCAGCGACCTGAAGATGCTGACGCTTGGGGATTTTTGGAACCATAGCTTGCTAGGTAGGTGCTTCTAACAAAAAATAGCCCCCTTGTATACCCCAAAGTATAGAATCCTCGAATTGGACATAGTTTTATGAAACCCGCAGGTGTTGCACTGCCAAGCGGCCTGCAGACATTGACATTCGGGGCACAGTTCAACCAGAGTCTTCTAGGAGTCACTTTTCCGGACAACCTGCAGACACTGACTTTCGGTGACAAGTACAACCAAAGCCTGCAGGGGGTCACACTGCCCGGCAGTTTGAGGGTGCTTGCATTTGGTGGGTATCACAACCAGACTATGGAAGGTGTCGCGCTGCCTAGCAGCTTAGAGGATTTGACCTTTGGAAGAGATTTCGACCACAGTTTGAGAGATGTTGTGCTGCCAAGCAAGTTGGAGACGTTGACTTTCGTGGGTGAGTACACGCAAAGCTGGCAGGGCGTGGAGTTGCCAAGCGGCTTGCGCAAATTGATCTTCGGCCCTAGTTTCAATTCACCCTTGACAGAGCTTACCATGCCAACAGGGCTACAGGAATTGAAGTTCGGCTATGACTTTATGCAGCGCTTGGACGGCGTGTCTCTTCCGAGCACCTTGCTGACTTTGACGTTTGGTGAGGAGTTCAACCACAGTCTGCAGGGCGTCGCTCTGCCCAGCAGTCTGCAGACCTTGGCATTTGGCCGCGACTACAACCAGAGCCTCAAACATGTGGTGTTACCGAGCGGCCTGCAGACTCTGACATTCGGCGCTTGCTTCAACCAGAGCCTAACTTGCGTGAAGCTGCCAGACAGCCTACAGACTTTGGTCTTTGGCACCTGTTTTAATCAGTTCTTGGACAGTATCACATGGCCAGTCTCTCTGCAGACACTAACTTTTGGCAGTCGTTTCAACCAGTCCTTGGAAGGAATCGTGCTTCCAAGCTGCTTGCAGACTTTGGCATTTGGTCGCGCGTTCAATCAGACATTGGATGGCGTCACGTTTCCAAGCAGCTTGCGGAGTCTGACCTTTGGAGCCGACTCCAAGCAGAGCTTGGAAGGTGCCAATCTGCCAAGTGGCCTGCTGCAGGTCCGCTGCAAGGGATGTACAGTCTGCGTGTTGGGGACTTGCTGAAAGACTTCTTCATATTAGAGCGTCCTTGCATGCGAGGGCGAAGGACGACAAGCGTCATAGACGGGTTCGAGTTGCTGGAGGCCAGGGCTGGTTCGTGTGAAGAACAAACAAGCTTACAAGGACACCTGCATACCGACTCAAGAAGAGGTGTTACACAAATCGACTTTAGACGCGTCTCGACCTTGTGTGTTCGGACCATGTCGACATGCCCGTGGTGTACACTCATTCCTTGTTTTCAAGCGCTTGGTTCCTTGAGGGCTCCTCAACAATGCACAGGGTCCTTGTCCAGGTCTTCGGACAGGGGATGTAATAGTAATAGCAACCGCAATGGCAATGATAAAATTCAGGTAAGCGTGACCCGCAAATCTCGGAACACAAGCCCATCCTGCCCTTGAAGCATGATACACATATGAGCTATAGTCTAAACTCCTAGTATCCCCCTTAAAAAGCCCTATAGTAGTCCCCTATATATATAATCCCCTATATATCCCCCTTTAAGGAGTTTAGACTATAGCTCATATGCTGTGCGCAAGCCCGCTGCTGTCACCGCTACGATGGATGCTTCAGCCAAAGACAAATTCGTTTTGAGACTATGGTAAACAATATGGGTGGTTGTCAAAATTATGGTCCCTTTTTGGGTACCCCAAATATTAGGTGCCATATTATAATAGGGATCCAAAAAAGGACCATAATTTTGACAACCACTCAGTCATATAACCCAAGATAACCCCAATATAACCCTAATATAAACCCAATATAGTCCTCATATAACCCCAATACAACCCCAATAGAACCATTTCCCTGAGGGTTTTCCAAAAAGTTGGGAGCCAGGCACCACCCAAACCCCACTGGGCGTGTTGCCCTTCAATCTGCAAGTTTCAGAACATGATTTATGTCCTGCAACACACCCCTTAGTCCCGAACATCCCATCATATCCCCATAAACCCGCTATCCTAAGCCTGCAACCTAGGCTTTCATACCCTAACTCCCAAACTGTAAACCCTAAATCCCGAGGCTGCGCAGGGTAGCCTTGATGTCTTGCACCTACCCGGCCACCCTATGTGCCTCCGTTGCAGCTGACATCCCCAAGAAGACCAACATGGCTTGGGTTGTAGCTTTAGGCTCCTCTTATGTGGCTACCTGCTGACATGCAAGTGTGTTTGTCAATCAGGGCTGTTGGGCTTCCATTGCTTGGGATTATGGTGGAGGGTTTGGGTTCTTCAGCTTCCGAATTGTATCCCCGGAATTTGTAGATGAGTGTTGGCAGGCTTTTGCTAAGCACTAGTCCGTTGCACGGGTGCTTTTTGCTGCAAAGTGTAAGGGCTGAGGAAAGTGCCCAATGAATAGGATACAAGTCAAGCGGGCGAAGCAGTCCCTTCACAAAAAAGGGTTAATCCCCGATAGAACCCTGTAGCCTGTATAATCCCCATAGTTTCGTATATGGTAGTTTCCCAAAATAGGGGGATCCCAATATAGACCCCAAAATACTATAATCCTTATCGTAAGGACCCCCCAAAAAGGGTACCCCTAATTTTGGGAAACCCTATATAATCCTTATAATGCATTATAGTACCCGAGCCAGTGCTCGGGACTCGGGACGCACTTCCAGCCGCCGCATGTTTCCACGTTCCGAGGTTTCGCCACATTGACCTCTCGCATATGCAGCGCTACGGCCATGACTTGCGCTCGTACCTTGCTCCTGCGCGGCAGTCCATTGGAGACGTGTGCCTTCGTTAGTTCCTTTTTGAAGCTCTTTGGTCTCCTGTTCAAAGAACAGTAAGTGCATGCCCTTTGTCGGAGCTTGCTTCCGGGACCATTCAAGTATTCTAAGTGCTCCGGTATGTTTAGGACACCTGTTTTACAAAGGTCATGCACTCCTGCTTCAAGAAGATGATCGATGAGGTCGCGTGCCTAACCTAGCCAAATACCTATAGACTGAATGCACATCCCCCAGAAATCTGCATAGACATAGAGATATATACATACATATGTATTTATATATATATATGCATACATATACAGGCACGTTCACATTTGCAGCATGGTATGTTTAAAGTGTAATATATACATATATACATGTGTGTATAGGTACATGTGTAGTAGGAATTCTCGGCAAATGGGTTGCATTCTGAGTGTTCTCTTGACCGGTCTCGAATTTGTTTCCAAGTTTCCGTTTTGCATGCAGGCTGTGCAACTTCAACAATCAAGCAGCCTCCCGGTTGTTGGACCCTAAGCCGTAGACCCTAAACCCTCAGATTGCGATTACATCCTTGACATGTCCGGCGCCAGGAGCCAGCAATGCGGAAAATCTGGCAAGAAGATATGATCTTGTCCCTGGATCAGCAGAAAGTTCAGTTGAGATATCTACAGACGATTTACCTGGCTCTTGAATATCCCAAAGAAACCCCATAATTGCTTTACAGTTCAGAGATTGTTTCCCATGTGACGAGCGCAGTGCAGTGTCAGGTCTATATGCTATGTCTTTTAGGACGCGAGATACCGTGATTATGTCCATAGTCTGCTATGGCAGCTCATGTTTGGACATGCCAGTCTTATACACAGGAGTGTATACCCAGCACCACGATAATCAACATGTCCCTTTGCTCGGCTCGTCGAGGTTCCGGGCTGATGACCATGCACTTTGGCACATGGACGAGTCACTGCCTGAGCTGCGGGCATGGGCTTTAAACATGCCTCATGGCCAGCCCGGCCAGCCTGCTTGAAGTTTGCTTGCGGGCAATTTTGGACCAAGTTGCAGAGCTATGTACAAGTGAGTCCTTGGGCTGAGCCTATCAGAGCCATTTTGCAACCCCTTGGCTGAGGCCGGAAGTGTGCTGGGACACGGATGCTGCTCTACGAAAGTGGCTTGGCCAAGGACATTGCGTGGTTGCGGTGGCTGCAGAGTGTTGAGGGGTGCTCTCTAATTGAGAAGTTCCTCGTATTCAATACATCGGGGGTGTTTGAAGTCTGAGAGGTACGCAGCTGTTGTTTTGCTGCACGGCCCGTAGCAAAACGCTTTGGCTTTGCACAGGAGACCCCGCATGGGAGGAGCATATCCTCACAAAGTGTCCGCTTTTGTAGCTCGGCATCATGGGCTCCTTGTTCAAGTGCTGCAGAGCTCGGCAAGATTCGTTGTTTGGATCTATATATACGCGTTCATGTATATATATATATATGTATATATACACGTGTCGACGCGTCCAAGGATTAGTTCGATTATTCAGGCCTCAACGGCGCCGGGCTCCAGGACTAAATTACAGCTGCTGCTAAACCCCTAGTTGCCTGACTATATTCGTAATCTTCGTTTGAGGGGTGCTCAAGATCAAGCCGGACGAGAAGTGTCTAGGCGTGTGTCTAAAGCAGATCTCTTTTGAATGGAGGTGCTACAGCCAAGCTGTGGATGCCGGTCTGTTTTCCCGAGGCTGGTCCGATTTTTCAACCAGAAGCCCTCTGCGCCCAGGAAGTTTACGAGGACATTTGCACAGCTTCTGGACAAAGAGCCACGAAGCAGGCTCCTTGTCCGAGAGCATCAGATACAGCTCCAGCAGAGTGGTGCTTTTTTATGATGTGTCAGAGCCGGATGACCTGTGATTCGGGCTTGGTACAACAAACCTAACACTAAAACTCCTTAACCCTAAACCCTAAACACTATGCAAAGATCACAGACATCTCTCTGCGGGGCGGATCAGAGGCTCAGGATGTCAGACTTTTGTGTCTGTTGCAGCAACATCAATCTCGCACTCCCTGCAGAACCCTATGACATGTCCAATCCTTATTCCAGCCCTTGGGCATCTGTTTGCTAGGCGGTATATCCAATGTAGGGGCCATCTCTTGAGAATCTCCTCCTCTTCTTCCTACAGCTCCGACTAGCATCAATATTAAAACTGCTACTTGCCTTTCCTTTTCCAGGTTTGTGGCTGCTTCCGCACTACCCGGGGGCCTAGAGGCAGGGCAAGACAAGCCCCAAGGAGATGTCTGGACTTGATTCAGGGATGGCTTCGATACATGAGGCTTCCTGTTGTGTTGCGGAGCCATGAAGAGCAGGGAGGCCCCAATTGGAAGAAATGCCTGTATGTCAGCCGGATTTTGGCAAGAGAACTGCATCCAAGTTTTCCAAGGAGTTCTGAGGAAACCCATTGGGCACGTGTGCACTTCACTCTCGCAAAACCTCTTTTGGACATGTGTAGAAGTTGGTTTGCTTTGTTTTCTTGATGGTTGTCCAGCCCTTCTGTTTCCGATGCGATGTTGCCCAAAGTGTTCGGTGCGACTAGGACAAAACAGGGAATGGCACCATGGTTATGAGAAATCATCAAACCCATTTACTTCTTTATTGCGAGTTGTCCAAAGGTTGGTCCTCCCCTGCTGCTTCTGGAGTCCTTTACACATTTTAGCTACTGGCGCCTTGGGAGTTGAAGCGGGCCTTTGCCTAGGCCTATTTGTCA